TGGTTTGGTCGAATGCACCCATTTTACGGCCCGTGTGTGCGGGCGTCCCTCCTCTCTCTCTCTATTGTTGTGTGGCTGCGTGGGGTCGCGTATCTGTTTTTTTGTCTCTCCCTCGCATTTTCCTTTTGACGCGTGTTTGGTGTTCAGCCGCAGCGCAAGCCAACGACAACTTCGAAGGAAACAAAGTAAAGGGGAGGAATGTCTGGAAGAAGCGAGGAATAAACTCGCAAGTGTGCCGCCGAGAGCCCCCCCAGTGATCAGCCGCGGGGGCAGCGGCGGGAGAGGCCGGGGCCTGAGGGTGACTCGGAGCAGCAACCCGCGGCGCAGTGCCGAAAGGTGGAGGAAGAAACACCGCCGCAGCGGCCAAAGTGGACCCTTGAGAGTCGCCTGGAGGAGGTACTGATGGAGGGAGAAGGCCCGGTCAGTGAGATGCTGCTGAACGACTTCCTTCGGGAGTACGTTGGCGGCAACAGCGCCGTGGACGAAGACGACAATGTTCCGATGGGGATGTTTGCTCTGAGGCCAGACGAGTACGTCACGGACACGGAGCTCCGCGAGAGCATTGTCAGGTTGCCCGCGTGTCAGACGTACGCTCTCCGTGAAGATTTGCGCAGGCTTCTGGAGAAAGGGGTGGTCACGCTCCGGGACTGGAGGAAAGCTGCATCGTGGTTTCGCATCTTCTCTAGCGCGGCGTCAGAAAAACTCAGAGCAGCCCTTGAGGTGGCGAAGGCAGAAGCGGCAGGGCGGGAAGAAAACGAAAGGGCAAAGCGGAAGGAGGAAAGTTACAGACGACCGATACCGGAGGGTTTCTACGACTCGGTGTTCAACGCCAAATTGAGCCACGTCGTGGGGTATCCCGAGGGCGCGGGGGAAGAAGCGGCGGTGCGAATGGAGGTGAAGGAGGGCCAAGCGCCAAAAAGGACGTGGAAGCTCACTTGTTACAGAAACCATGTACTGCGTAGTGACGAGTTAGACCAGTTCCGTCCACCGCGCCCCACGCTGATGGTACTCACCTCCGAGAAGGGCTGGCCGCACTCGCTGCGGGAGGGAACAGTCACCACTGACTGCTACGTCACCGCCGAGGCGGAGCGGGTGTGGCAGATCGTCAAGGACAACATGTACTATATGTTCTACGGTGGCGATGGCGGGTTGCCTGAAGTGCAACCATACTTCGTGCTTGGGACGTACGGGGTCGGGCGGTGGGCGAATGCCGGCTCCTACCTCCTCTACCGGCTGCTGCACTACGATAACCACCCAATTCGTTATGTTGTCTACTGCTTTGGAAGAGAATTGGTGTACGTGTTTGACAAGGAAGAGAAGACGGTGGAGAAATACGAGGGTACGGAGGATGACGAAGAAGCTATGAAGAAGTTTTATTGGTATTCTGGCGAGAGAGGGTTTTTTATCTACGACGTGGCGGAGGAAGGGGGGCCGCCGTCAAGTTTTTATTGTTATAGGCATGGGGTGGTTGTGTTGGCCTCCCCGAACGGCAACAACTTCAGGGAATGGGTGGGGGGAGCGGACTACCATCACCGCGTCATGAGCTGCCCCAGCGAGAACGAGGTGAAGGCGATGTGTGCCTGGATGACGCGGGGCCGCCCCGCGCAGGAGCAAGTGGACTACTGGGAGACGGTCAAACAGCGCATGCGGTTTGTCGGGCCGATTCCGCGCTACATCCTCACTGAGGCTGAGTTCAATGAGCACACGGCGGCGGTTGAGAGCGCCCTGCAGGCGATTGACGCCTCGGTTGCCAAGGACTACTTTGCCCGGGCAGATGAAGAAGTGTGGAGTCCAGAGAATCCGTTTCATAAAATTGTGAAAATTGAGCGGGAATTTCGCGCACGCTGTTATGACGTTATTCGTATCGCACCGGCGTGTGACTACATCGAGCAAAAGCTACTGGACCGTTTGTGTGAGGTACTGACCCTCAGAGAGGCTGTCACGCTACTGTCGGGTGCCTCCCACCTTCCTTGAAGGATGCTGAGAGCGTCTGCCCCGGACCCACACACACACGCAAGGGAGGAGGGCCTTCTGCGGGCGCGGCGTAGAAAAGAGAGAGAGGCTCGCGCGGGGCTGCGGCCGCCAGCGGGACGGCAGGCAAAGTGCTGCGTGTTGCGGGCGGGCCCGGCGTCGCGTCCCGGGCAAAGGGCTTAGAGGCGGGCGTCTTTTTATTTAAATTATTTTCTTTAAACAGTCGGGAAGGAATTTGGTTGGGCTGCGGTTTTGCGGCGGCGGGTGCGCATTACAACACTACCGCCAGCGCAGCGAAGGAGCAGCCCGGTGAGTAAATGACGAGGTGTATATTTTAAACGGTTGGGAAAACTACTGCCGGTGAGTCTTCGTGGGGGATGTTGTTTGCGTGCGGCGTGCAGACGGTGCGGCGACAGACACACGCGGCAGGGGCGTGGGAACTCGGGTGGCAGGGCCGGCGCTGAGGAGAAAAAAAGAAGAGGTCCCGCTGGGGCAACGCGGT